CGGTTCAGAAAATTTTCCATTTCGAGCACTGGATAAGATTATATATTAAACACAAAAAACAATGAAAAGTTAATTGAAAATTATAAAAAAAAAATACCGTATTTAAAACCATAAGTACTCGTATAATAAATGATTTACTGACTGGAGAAAGAAAACTGTTAGTTTACCCGAAGATTTGACGTTAAGCGATTTAGTTTATTTTAAGTACGCTCCAATCACATCAACCGACGTAGAACGATGATTTTCGAAGTATAAAAACTTACTGGCTCCAAATCGAAATATTTTGAAAATTTAAAAAAAAAATACTTACAGTTCAATGCAACAACATTTTTAAGTACATGTATATATTTTTTTATATTTCATATATATATCTTTATAAATGGTAACTAATGAGCATAGGCACAACTAAAGCCCAAATATTGGGAGTACTGAAATTACGTAGCTCACACTAACCCTCACACATACCCCCTAAGTACCATATCTCAATTTAGTCACTAAATATACCATAACAATTTACATACACTAATATTTTATTTTATAAATATAAATATTAACAAGCCTAATTTATATTATTTTATTTAGGTCATACAGTAATAAGAAATACACAAATTAAAAAAATATTATACAATATATAACATATAATATTCACTTGAGTATTATCTTGCAATGATTTGTGAAATATTTTTCAAGTATTTCTGACAATGTAATTAACTAATAGTCATAAAAAATTAATCTTTTTAATAAAAGCATCAAATAAAAATAACTATATAAAATAAGAAAAACACTATTTTTATATAATTTTTCAATTATTAATTTTTTATCTTAGGGGTGCTGAAGCACTCCTAAGCACCCCTCTAGTTGCACCTATGCTAATGAGTCTGTTTTATATATGATATATAAAATACAATAAGTTAATGGCAGATAAAATAAACGTAATTTTATGAATAATAACGAAACATTATTTTTTTTTGTGCAATTTTAGATTTTTTAAAATGCAATTTTCGATATATCTTAGTGCAATACTGCAATCAATTTTACTACTACAACATCCATGCCCAATTTATTAATATCACGAAAAAATTATCATTACCAATAACTACAGAAAAACCGGTAGGGTAGTAGAATTAATGAAAATATTAAAAAAAAAACTCCCCATTATGATCAAAAGTGAAAATTGTTAATTTAGAATAAAAAAAAGATGAATACACGCCGTGTTAAAATCCTGTGAAGAAAGAAAAAACCAAATCAAGGCAAATCATATAATATATATATATATATATATATATATATATATATTAAATAATTATTTATTTAATAAAACACTAATTTCAACATCATAAAAATATAAAATGTCTACACAGAAAAAAGGTAATGTAGTAAAAATTATGTAACTATAAAAAAAAGTGAAAATTTTTATTAAATAAGAGAAAAATTGGTAATATGAAAAAATAAATATATTATAAAAATGGTAAAAAAAAAAGAAAAACCCTGTGAAGGGAAAAAACCAAAAAAATTGACGAATTAAATTAGGTAGTTGAAAAAAGTAGTACCATACAAAAAAAGGTATGAAAAATTGTACAAAAAAATTTTAAAAAATGTATAAAATTGTGTAAAATGTATAAAAATGTATAAAATATATAAAAATGTATAAAATGAAAATGTTCTGGATCACGATGTCTTCTATCCACTGCTGATTAAACATACGATTACGTATATGGTCTCGGTGGTGTTACTACCGACTTTGGATTTAACATCACTTTGGAGACGGTCGGTTCGATCGCTTCTCCGCCCTCGATCAACCTCTCCAGGTAGAGAACAGCGTTTGAGGAGTTCTTCCACCCCTCAACGCTGACGTGTTCGATCTCCACGTGTCCAAAACCATGGTTTCTCGACACATCCACAGTCTGAGACATGTGGATGGTTTTGGGCACGTGGAGAACGACAACGGGGGCGATCTCACGCGCCAAATCGAGAATGCCGGCTAGTCCACTCTTCTGGCGGCTGCACAAATCCTCGACACTGAACCGCCGTTTTCGATCCCACGGCGGAGAAGTTATCACCGCATCGGACGTCACTCCGGACAGCGCCGCGAAGCTATCGCCGAGTCGAAACTCGATCCGGTGGGCAACTCCCAGTTCCGCGGCCTTCTGGCGGGCCAACCGTATTTTGGCCGGGTCGATGTCCACGGCGATCACCTTTCGGCACGTTCGTGCCAGCCAAACGGCCAGGCGGCCGACACCGCAAAACGGGTCGACGACCGTGCCGAAAGCGCACCTTCGGGCCTCGTGCGCGGCCAACACGTCCGGACACGCGGACACCGAGAAGTGCAACTTGTCAGCAACAGGTCGTCAATGGAACCGCCAAGCGGCCGGTTTCGCCTCGGCGTCGGGAGGACACGGGTCCCGATGTTCTTGGGCGATGGTCGGCGGTTTCGGCGGCTTCAATGCGGCGGACCCATCAAAGGGGCCCGACGGAAACGTACTAGGGAAACAGAAGGTGAAAGCGGTATCTTCCACCGCAGCCCCTCCAGTTGTCACAACCGAGTCCTCCTCGGGTCCGTCTTTGACATTGGTACGCTTCATATGATCCCTTACGGTTCTCAGCCAGTGCTTTAATGTTCCAAGTTCCGCGGGCGGCGTCAGGTGTTTCATCTCGGTGAACGCTTCCGCGGTCACCGGTAGCTCATCCACCTGAACGCCGACGCCCGCGTTACATGAATATTAAAAATACATGAATTACATGAATATGAATTTATATTACATTACATGAATATTAAAAGAAAAAAAAATGTTTAAGTAAGTCATCATTTTGTTCAGCATTAAATTACATTTATATCATTTTTTATTATATTTCTGCACAATAGAATAATTGATTAAACATACTATAAAATATTATCACGGGCCACTGCTGTATTTCATAATATATATTAGCCAAACTCTCATAGTAACGCTGCAAAAAATACAGCTCATAGAATACATTTTATAAGTAAAGAGGAATTTTGAATAGTACCTCAACAAAGTATACCACAGGGATAAAATGTACAAAAAGTCAATAATTGGAAGACTTCCAGTGGAAGTGTATTTATTTCAAACGGTGAATACCAATTGTTACAGTTAAATACTCATTCAGTCGAAAACATTTATGAAAAATGTGAAACTAAAAATAGTTATATCTGATTCAATTTGATCATTAGGACCTGGATTTCAATGCAAAGTGAATATTTTTTTGGTTTATCATACACAATGCTCTCTAAGAACATAATTAATTTCATATAACGAGGGTTTCAAAACTACAAATTTTATTTTGCATTTTTTTGCATATTTCGAGGTTTTTTCATTACTAGAGCATTTTTAGTATTATTAGATCATTTTGTTGGTTTTTAATGCATATTTGTTCGACATACTAAATAAATTTAGCCTATTCAAAATAAAATCAAAAGAAATTATTTTCTTGATATTTAAGTAGGTTTATCAGGTTACATATTGTCAATCTTTATTTTTAAATTCAGTTATTATCTTATTTTAATTTATTATAGACTATGGAACGTCATCAGTATTAGGTCAATGATCAGTCAGTTCGTATCCCATCGCAGACGTTGCTCGTGTTACGTGTGTTTGTGATTTTAATGTATTAAATAGTGTGTTAAATAATGCCCAAAATGAAAAAAATATATGTTATTTTTAAGGTCATTTTTGTGGTAAAATGCATTTTTAAAGACATTTTTGGCTATTTCTTAGAGCATATTTGTATGATTTTAAGTGCACTTAAATCCGGGCCCTAGTAATCATACAATATTTATAAAAAAAAAAAAAATTGATCTCTTCAATTTATGTCGTCCATATTTTGTTCCTCTGAAATTGAATAAGGTGATCCCGGAATAAAATAATTAAAAAAATTATTTTCATAGTCTGAATCTTCATCATCTGCACCTCCATCGTATGAATCTTCAGCGTCTGAATCTTCTTCACTAACTAACAAGGTTGATACTCTTTCTTGGTCATGACTTAATGAAAATAAATCAAGTTTTGTAAATATAGTTTTCCCCAGAATCAGTATTTTAATAACTTACTAAACTTCTTCATTTGTGTAATAATGCTCCATTTCTTCTTCGCGTTCTTCTACGAATTCTCGATCGAGAGTATTTGGTCTTTCATTAATCTAAAATAATTTAATGAATATAATGATTAAGAACCTCAATATTTTTTATGAAATTTTAATTTAAGTGACTTTTTTTCTATTGTTTATTACATTTTAAGACAAACTAAATGTTAAAATCAATTTACTAGTTTTTAAATTAGTTCTGGAGTTAATAAATTACAAGTTAAACTTTTAAATCTTGAAAATAAAATTCAATAAAATATAATTTAAAATTTAAAATATTAAAAGAACTAAAAGCATAACTAAGCTCAAAAGTTATATTACTTTACAGTATTTACAATTTATTATCAGTATACAAATGAATCAACTTGCATTGCTATAAATTGTATTTGATGACAAAACAATACTACTATTTCTTCGTGAACGGTAAAATTGATTACTATCTACATTATTTGATCTAGAATATGGATGTGTTGCAAATATTCTTCTTGCCGATCTATAAACTCTGGACCGTTCAGGACTATTCCTCATATAACTAAAATCATCAACTATGTGACTGTTACTGTCATCGTTTCTGGTTTCAAGAAACATCGAGCCATCATTACTATTACTATACTCATACACCACTGTTTCATTTAAATCGCTATTTAAAAAAATGTAAAAAAATTTTAATGACGATTAAAATGAAAAAAATATTTTTTTTACAATATTAAAAGCATACAAGAAATTTATTTATTTATTTATTTATTTATTTATTTATTGGATAAACGGGCGTAAGCCCAGGTTAAAATAATTAGGTGTACAATACAATCATACAATAACATAATGAATAAAATAATAAGATATAAAATATAAAATTAAACTAAACAATGAATATAAAAAAAAAATAAAACTAAGAGAGGAACAACGGATTCTCATTGGCTAATTTCATTATTCTCGTAATAGGTTCATTTTTTAGATAGTTTGTAGTGCAGAAGGGTAATAAGAAAGGATGATTATTGCGGGTGGACCTAACAGGAACTCTAAAGTTAACGAGAGAAAGAAGGGATGGGGAATCGACCGAGCCTGTTTGTTAAGGAAAGAGAGATGATTGGATCGACGACGGTCAGCTAGGGAGGATAAGTTAAGCAAACGGTGAAGAGAAGTGTAATCATGAGGGGTGCAGTTTACGTTAAGAGAATGTTTCATGAAACATAAATATTTTCGTTGAACCCGTTTGAGTTGAAAACAAGCATCAATTGATTAGGGATCCCATACAACTGAGCCGTATTCTACGATTGGACGTACAAGTGCAAAATATATTGCTTTGAGGGATGCGGAGAGCTTAAAGTCACTAGATATTCTTTTGACGAATCCCAATACCTTAAGGGCTTCGCATGTAACTCTATCTATGTGAGTTCTAGGACAAAGAGAGGGAGTAAAAGCAAAACCAAGATCACAGATGATAGAGTCAGCTGGAATCAAATAAGAGCCATTCAATGAGTAAAGGTGACTAATAGGAGAGCGACTTCTACTGAATGTCATTGACCGGCTTTTTTTCTATATTTAGTTTGAGACCAAGGGATTCAGCCCATGCTGAGAAACTATTTAGATCATCCTGGAGTTTGAGACAATCATCGACAGAGTTAATTTCGAGGAAAATCTTCATATCGTCGGCAAAACAAAGAAGTTTGCTATGTTTGAGAGAAGAGCTAGCACTATTAACAAACAAAGAGAATAGAAGAGGTGATGGATATCCACCCTGGGGAACGCCTGAGGAAGATAAAAATGTGTCAGATTTAGTGTTGAACAGATTAACCCATTGATATCTATTTACTAAAAATTAATTTAACCAAGATAGGATAGGATCCCCAAATCCAGTAGCACGAAGAACAGAGATTAGAACATCATGGTTAACGGAGTCAAACGACTTAGCAAAGTCGGTATATATGACATAAACTTGTGTTCCATCTTTAAAAGATCCGAATATGTAATTGCAGAAAACAAGTTTACAAGTAACCGCTAATCTGCCTGGACGGAAACCATGCTGTTCATTGGCTAAGATCAAATTTACTGAAGGCTGAATTGTGTCTAAGACTAATGATTCAAAGAATTTAGAAATATGCCCTAAAACAGAAATTGGTCTGTAATTAGTGACTAACGAACGACAACCTGATTTTAAAATGGGAGTAATAGAACCAATTTTCCACATGTCAGGAAAAATACCATCATCGAGAGATCTTCGAAATAGGGACCAAAGAGGATAGAGAATAATGGACCTCGTTCTGTAGAGGAAATCGCCAGGTATTCCATCGGGTCCAGTAGAAGACACATTTTTTAAAGTATTAAGCTTGAGGACATCATTTACAGAGAAGTAACAGTTGTTAGGTAAGTCGAAAAATGGTATATCTGATGTCTGAAGATTTGAAGTAACGGGCTCTGAAGAATAAACCGAAAAAAATGTTTAGCAAACAGATTAACACTTTCCAGCTTACAAGAACTATTGACACCATCTAAAGAAACTGAGTTAGGAACGGCATTGTGGGAATGATTCTTGCGTACAAAATCCCAAAATTTTTTGGAATTTGAGGATAGAGATCTTGAGCTAAAAATGTTTTCCTCGTTACTATCATTACCATGTACATATTGTAAAATAAAACCCAATTTGTCTTACTATGTGTGGTTAGTTTCTCTGGTCGTTCAGTACGTCATTCAATTTGAATAAATTTGGTTAATTTTAATTCAATGATACATAATCTATTAGATAATCTGATAATTGCTTATCTTTACCTTGATATATACAAAAGTGTTTTATATATTAATTTATGTGTATATTCAGTGATGAACATTCAAGTTTCTTATGAAGGTGGAATTTGCATGACATATTATTGCATATAGGTATAGAAATGTGTTTCGACATGAAATGGAAAAAACAAATCGATTATATATCTAACAAATTAAGAAAAATGATATACATAATTAAACAACTACGTGATATATTACCTTCGAAGGAAATTATAAATATATATTTAACTCTATTTGAATCAATAATCACATACGGTATAATAGGATGGGGAGGGGCATATGATAATGTTCTAACGCAGCTTCAAAAATGCCAAAACTCAATTATTAGAGTTGCGACTAAAAAAGATTGGAGATATCCAACAAAAAAACTGTATGAAGATTTTAAAGTTCTTAATATAAACAATTTATACATCAAAATTATTACTATATATTTAAAAAAGCATAACCAATTATCTCCTATTAGTCATGAAGTTAATACTAGACACGCAGCTAATAACTTTACTTTAGATTGGCCAAAAAAAACCGGATGCCGTAAAGTATACCATTTCTTGGGAACTCAGATATATAATCTAATGCCTATCCATATAGCTAATATGCCTTTACCTGCTTTTAAAAAACACATTTCCCATTGGCTCCAATATGAATATAATGCGATTAAAATTTAAAATATTTTAACCATTCAATTTCTATTTTATAATTTAATATCATATAGGTAATATTATTATATTTGTAATTCATTCTGTCTTATATCTCTTATGCTATATTTTAGATATGTAATATTTAATTTAGAATATTGTAAATTGATAACCCTGGGCCTCCACACGAGTTTTCTCAGTGAGGCCCAGTAATCTTTTTGATTTCAAATAAAAAAAAAAAATAAAAAAAAATATGTTTATCAGAAGAATTCTAACCTAAACAGTCATTTTTATCATAAATCATAATACTTTTTTTGTCTTCCTGATAGGGGATTTATCTCGAAATCCCTCTCCATATGTACGCCACTATACTTATAAATAAAAAGAAAAAACATCAAGTCATGTTTATGTGTTGAATACCACAGTCTCCGAAATTAAATCGATAAAACTTATAAAAATAGCACAACTGATTTTAAAATAATGTTTATTTAATCGGTAGATGGTACTCTTGAGTACTCATCAGTTAAAAACGCAAAAAAATTGTTTTCTGAATTTCATATATCTTTTATTTCGCTGGATTTGTAAGTAACGTGGATCTACATAGAGTTCGTATATTTTCATATTATAATTATAGTATTAATATTATTATCATTCAAAATAAATATTATTATCAATGGAAATTTCATTTTGAATCTGCTAATTTCAACACATGAATAAATTAAAAAATAACGTCGAAATAACAATGAACCTTTGCCACTGGCCCACACGTGGTATGCCCATATATTAATACATTTATTTGTCACATCAAATTTTTGAAATTGGCCCTACAATAAGCAGGGCCTACAATCCGCTAAATCGTCTAAATTGATACTTTTGGTCATTCCACAAATCTTAAATACATTTTATTTTACAATAATATTTAAATTGGAAAATAAATAAATATTTTAGGTTAGTTTCACTACGATTGCAAGATTGGTGGGATTTTTACATTTCGATATTGGTACTTTTGATTTTTTGATTTTTTTGTTATCTCATGTTATTATCACAGGTTGTTATCTCGGGAGAACAACTACCTGATGCCCGAGTACCATATTGAAATTCCATAATTAATTTTCATTTATATTTAACTTTTCAATATTTATACCATGACTCAAGTTCATAGAGATCGGGTTGAATAATTTCGGAAACAGTAAATGGATTTTCGTGGTTGAAGGGAATGCCTTTATCGTCATCATACTCAACTGCAATAGTGTTTGGAACAATAAAATTAATAATAATAATAATAATAATAATAATATTAAAATAATAAAAAAGAAAATGATCAGCGCTTACTCCTTGTGCGACTCAAGTGTTTATTGTGGGATATAAATGATGAACTTGATTAGAAACGAACGGAAATTTGTTGTTCGCAAGATAATTGAATCCGTTATATCAGGGATGGGTAACTGGCGGCCCGCGTACTATTTTATTTGACCCCTGCTACATTTTCAAATCACTTCTTTACATATTAGCTTTATTTTGATTTACTTTATCAGTGTTTAATTTTTTTCAAGTTGATCGTAAAATTTAAATAATATATTTTCTCTATCATTGAACTTCAGCTAAATACTTAAATGTCTAAGTATAATTTATATCCATATCGGCATAGCTAACATTGCTGTAGGTATTAGGCACTTATTTTATTGTATTAGTTTCGTAGTAAAATTAAATTAATTAAAATAAATGCTAATTGTCAATTTTAATGACCTTTTCTTCATTTTTGCTTTCTTTACTATGGCCCGCTAGATTTTAAAGCTCTAAAAATTGGTCCTCTAGTTACTTTAAGCTGGCCATCCCCGCGTTATACGATTAATATGATGAGTCGCAGATTGAAGATTGCGGAAAATAGAATTTGTATACATTTTTCATAAGGTATATCATTTTTATAAATTTAACCTTCATACATTTAATCTACTTACTCATGATCTCTGGATAACATTGAATGATTTTCTCCATCGTCATCAATGTGTCCGAATAGTGGTGTCGATGGAAAATCAGTTTGTGAATCTATAGATATGGTTGACATTATAAATTGTTTATATTTTATTCTCTGGAACTCGTTCATTTTATCAAGAACATTAATATTACTTTCATCTGCGTTTCTGAATGGTGATTCCGGAAAAGAAAAATTAAGGAAACTATCATCGGAATCAACTCTTTCGTGAAACAATACAGCTGACAATGTTTCCTGGTCTTTATACATATTAATTTATTACTTTATAAATTATTGACATGAAAATTACATTAAACTAATTCTTACATCTATAGTTTTGATTTATTTATTTTAGAAAATAACTTACCAGTGTCATATCCGGTCGCGATTATCTCGTTATTAGTGACATAATAATCATAAAATTCTCTTAACAAATTAAGTACCTCATTTTCTTCAACATCATCTGAATCAAAAATAAATAATTTAAATTTATTTATTTCATACTCAATGTTAACTTTATATTATACTATATATACATTATAATAAGAATGAAACTTACTTAACACTTTCATGATTTTGTGAAGATGACTATAAAATAAGGTTTCTTCGAACGTCTTTTCAAACGATTTTATAGTTCTAAATAAATATATAATGTCTAAATGTTTATTTATCATAAAATTTACATTTAGAATAATGAGGGATATTTATAAATAATATTTGATTTGAATAAATCAAAAGACTAATGTTTTATACAAGTTTGTTGTTAAATAAATTATATGGTTACGGCGTGTTACAATGTACCACAAACTGTATAAAATAAACTAATAATAAAAATATTATATTGTATATTTAATCCGTTAAAATATATACGTTATTATATATTATATCATTATAATAAAAAAAGGTTATATTAAGGGTTCAAAAGAAAGTTAAAATTACTAATGGACTTAATTATTAAGCATCGCGTATTCGGCGAAACGTGCTGTTGGATGTATTCAGTCGAGTGGCAACAACGCGTATTGCCACATGCACACATTCTCATTTGGTTGGTAGAGAGGATAAGACCGAATAAAATTGACGATGTGATATCTACAGAAATTCTCGATAATGATAAAGATCCATTGTTACATAAAATTGTTACAAAAAATGAGATTCATGATCCCTGTGGACTATTAAATCCAAATTCTCCAAGTATGATTGATGGAAAATGTTCAAAACGCTTTCCTAGACAATTAGTAGTAGAAACTATTAGTGGAAATGACTGTTATCCACTATATCGCCGACGATCCACTGATGATAACAATAGTCAAAGTGAATGAGCTGGAAATTGAAGTTGATAATCGTTAGATTGTTCCGTTTTTTCCGTTACTCTCGAAAACATTTACAGCTCAAATAAATGTTCAGTATTACCATTCCGTAAAATCGATAAAATATATCTGCAAATACGAGGACAAAGGTAGTGAACAAAAGTAGAACATGGCTGTGTTCAAAGTTACTACTGAAAATTCAAACGATGAGATCACTAATTTTCAAATGAGACGCTATGTCAGTAGTAACGAGTTGATGTGGCATATTTTTTCTTTTCCAATACATAAAAGACACCCCATTGTAGTTCACTTGACCGTAAATCTGGAAAATGGTTAAAGGGTGAACTTTACAACGAATTGAGAGGCCACCATCTACGACATTGAACAACTTCTTTATTCCGAAATGCTACGATATTATACCTGGAATCAATCGTTAAAGAAATTTCAACGATGGAAACAAGGACAGCCAGTTCCAAGTTACCTTCAAGTATTTTCCACCGACACACTTAGACGTCTTTACATAGTCAATCCCAGCTAAGACGAGTGTTTTTATTTGCGTTTACTGTTAGTCAATGTTCGTGACCCAACATCATTCTAACAACTGCGAACTGTTGATGGTGTATTGTGCGGTTCATACAGAGAAGCCTGTCAACGTTTGGGATTGCTAGACAATAACGACACTCATTGGAACCACACACTCGAGAATGCTTTGATTCCGTCAAATGCTAAACAAATACGAACATTGTTTTCCATAATTATGTCTACATGCTTCCCATTAACACCGATTGATTTATGGAAAAAATATAATGATCACATGGCCGAAGATATATTACATCAGAGGCGTCTTAGAACATCAAATACAAATTTGGAAGCTGGAAGATCTAATAGTGAATATTAGATCTAATGTAGCTGAATACACTAATTAAGATACTAGTATGACTCATAATAAAGATTCATTTCAATACATTATAAACAATAATTTATCTTTGAAATACGAAGATTTTCTTCAAAGATTTGAAGATAAACTTTTAGACCAGAACTTTAGGACTTAAATGGTAAAAATGTAGGTAGATTCTAATTAAAAAAAAATAACATATTCAATTGTTTTTCTTTAAAACTCAAACTGATCTGAAACAAATATATATAACTTTTTTAGGTAAATAAATTTAGTCGATATGTCCGTGATACATTTTCAAGTACCAAAATATCAAAAATTTGTTATTTTTTCAAAGATGGGTTGTTACAAACATACAGCTATAAAGGGCAAAAGAAGAAGAAAATATTTTTAACCTTAACAACATGTTCAATTATATTTGATAAAAAAAAAATTGAGTTTCACTTTATTTACAATAAACATAACATTAATAATATTTATGTTTTTAGATTCTGTCAAAAAAATGAAAAGATTCTAGAAATATGATAAAATCGATGTAAAACAACCGATCAAAATTTTCATTGCTAGTGCTAAGTTTAGAAGAAAAAACCTTATCAAGAAGAAGGATTATCAGATATTTAATAAAATAAAACTGAATAATATCAATGGTGGTACTCATATCTGTTAATAAAAAATATATTTGTTTTTGTAAGGAAGGAACTCACAAAATGCAATAATAAAGAGGATTTTAATGAACAAAAAATTTCTTAGTTGTTACTTGTTTGGTATCCTAAAATGACTCTTTTAACAATAGCTTTTATTTATTATTGAATAAAAACTAATATTATAATATTATAAATATTTATAGTAAAAATAAATATATATAAAGGTTACAAAAAAATATTATTTATGTATTGACCAAAACAAATTATTATTAAAATAATTTTAATTTTTTTTTTAATTAAATATTTGATAAATAATATAATAATGTTATGATATAATTATTAAATTAATAGTTTATAAATATTACATAAATATTAATCATATAATGTAACTTCAGTGACCAACCATTATTTTATTAACATTATTATAACATTTTTGTAACTAATTTAATGGATGAAAAAAATGTTAATATAATTATATAATATCAAATAAATATTTTCTTGCTATCTGGGTATGTGTAGAATATTACGATAAATTACGTTAGTACCTACAATTATAACTGCATCAAAAATAATAAATTATCAATCCACAACTGACACTAATAATGAAGTGCATTATTTACCTTGTAAGTATATACGTACGTATACAAATCTATAGTAAATAAACCACCAATTTTTTAGGCTCTATATTATATTTTAACAATTACCGTGTGGGGTTCATCGTCTCTATGTATATATTATAATGTATACGGTACGATTTTTTTATTGGTTAAAGATATTCTGTAAGCATTTTATAATTTCACAGCATTTTCCGCGTTACGTTCGAGTTTTATGTCTGTCAGTTATTTTTCTTTCGTCGGACTGCGGAAACGCATAATAGACACGATCGGTTGTACATCATGTTATGTGCGTTGAAAAAACAAAAACCATTAGTACGGTGGTTCTACGCGAAGAGAACCGGGTAGGTAACTATGTAGTTATGTTCCCTGCGGATAAAAATGAAGAGTAAGAAGACGGAGAAGAAAAAATCCGTCGACAGCAGCAAAATTCAAAATGAATTATTTATTGAATTCAATCTGCAATACGCGTATCTCTATATGCACCGCCACAGAACCGTATAGAGGTATACCTACTTAACGTATTCCGTACACGGTCCGTGCGCGTTTTCTCGTTCATTATCCATACAATGTAGGGCTCGATGTAGCCTCGTTTGCCTCCGTAGGTTGACCGGTCCATCGGCGGCGGCGGCGGCAGCGGCGGAGACGATGAGCAGGCCCCACCCAGTGCCGCCGTGTGTGTTTTTTATCCGGTCCGCCGCCGCAGCTACCGCGTGCGTGCTAAAAAACGCGTTGCAGTCGGTTCAGTACTGTTGTCGGTCGCGTGCGGTACACACGTGCGGTAAATAACGTAATAATAATAATAATATCAATAGTCGAATAAAATGCGTGGCGCTAACAATCCGAGTTTTGGCTCATCGTCGTAGTACGGTTGAACGAATATAATATCATATCGTGACCGTGTCGAACGATTGTGCAAGAAAAAATCACTGAAATCACGTCGTACCGCCAATATGCGGTGAAAACATAATATGGGTCCTACTGTTTTCGTTGTCTCTATGCAGAAACCTCATTACGATTTGCCCGTACGGTTCATGTGATCTCCGGCAATCACGTAAGTGCGACAATAATACATAATAATATTATAGCGCATCGATTGTAATTATTGAGTTTGTGCGAACCGTTTGTATTGCATCAGTGTTTACATCGTATTGTCGTTCTACTAGTCGAAATTCACTCTCCTTAATGCGTACGAAAAGATTTCAACGGTAGGTCATGAAAACGATCAACTTAAAGAGTTGTAAGTAGTAAGTAATCATCCGAGTACACTGAATGTTGACAATGTGACGTTTTCGACGTACACAGTGCGGATCGTTCGACATGAACGCGGTTTTCCAGAAGTTCTCGTTAATTCCGTTGTATGGTCTCGTTGAAAACTAATTATCTCTCTGGAATAACGTTAAATCATAACAGCTGTTCTGCGTATGCATCCGCGAAAAATTCGTCCGTGGGGTTCTTGTTCGACGAATTTTTAAATGTACACATTTTATACATGAAAGCGGCGCGATAAATCGTTATTAATTTCCATTCGAGATAGCGATAAATGCATATTTATTTGTTTTATTGCGAACGTAGGTAGTTACAAGCGTATAGCTCTATGGATGTACAACGTATTTATAATAATGCATTAATATATCTATACGTCTATAATTTATACTCGAAAAATTTTACTGAAAAACTCGTATACCAGTTCGGTTATAAGGTTATACTCTGCTGCATAATGTTCGCCGAACGCATGTCAGATAAATCACACGCCTTCACGTTTTCGTTTCACCGTTCGTAGGACGGACGAACCTTCGACTCACCGTTACCACCACCCCGGGTCGGTCGGCGCGCGACATTTAGACGAGTCCCGGACGCGTCGCGTTTCAATATAATCCGAGTTATATACATTGAAATGCATGTTATGCGTTCCTTCAGTTATCATTTACTTTGAACTCGTCGCTGACAATAAATCGCACTTTTATCATTTGAACGGTCGAGAATTATTAAATGGTCGAGACCGATAAAAGATATTTTCCGTGTGTTTTCCATTGCACGCGGACACTCGAATAAAACATATACGTTCAGAAAATGTCTCGTATATTCATTAATGCTCCGAACGATGCATCGGCCTGGTTGCGAAACACGTACACGGCGAATGGGAAGAACTGTAAGTTTAGGTCCTTTTCAACCATCGCCCATTACAAAACCGTGCACCGGTACGACTGGATATACTAATAAGATACGATCGGATCGCGCGAGACAGAAATGCCGTCGATCGTCGACGGACGTCGGCGAAACGCCGTAGACATACGCAGCAGACAGACGTACGGTGTGCACAGATATGTTCGTTTTGTATCGGAGAGCACGTCAATCTCCGGAGCGTAATACATCATCTGACAACACGGTAGCCGGCTGCGTCCGGACCGTAGCCGCCGGAGTCGATTAATTACACTGCCGCGCAGTCGTATAAAGTAGTCTAAGAAATAGTGCCGGGAAAACGCGACGCGCCTTCGCGGTCGGAATGACAGACCGCATATAACACAATATGTACCGTACGTACCACCGTATACCGTTAAGCGGAGGCGATTGTGCGTTATAAGACAGAGGAGCTGATGAAAGAAGAAGAAAAAAAAAATCAAAACTTGAACGAAGGTTCTTTTTTTTTTCCTGTACTACGAACCAAGGATGTGTGCGAGTGTGCGCGAGTGCATGTAGTGGGCTCGCCATTCAGGTTATGCTGCCCACGCACTTCGTACCTATAGGTTAGGCCACGGGAGAAACTCTCGCTAGCGCGCATATTTTAAGTTAATAATAATAATGATAAACCTCATGCCTACTATAATAATAATAATAATATCAAATATACAATGTATATTACGACGACGGTTGACGAGAGTTGGCCAACACACGCGCGCACACAAACAAAACGCCCACCACGTGTAAAATAAAAATAAAACAACAAAGTTGTTAAACGTTCTCGCAAAATAATAAGTATAACGCGCCACACTGTTATCTTTTTTTACTCGACTACACAATACCCAGTGTTTAATACACGAAGAATATACTGCATCATACATGTATGTACCGTATTATATGCCTATTTCATTTCAATGCCGCAAACAGTTGAATAGTCTGTGATGAATTCGTAATGGTACTGTCGCGGTAGTACCTATTTTACGTATATATATTTTACTCTGGGGTGTGTGTGTGTGTGTGGGTGAACAACATCGTTCGCAACGCAGAAAAGGTTTTCTTTATTATTTAGTTTTGATACACGCAATGGTATTACACTCGCCGTCGGCATCGAGTCTGTTTAAAAAATACTATTAAAAAAAACGCACACGCGCGCGCATTCGTTTTATGACGATCGACTCGTGCTTAAAATCAAAACGCACCGAACAACCGCCATACCGGACGACGATTATTATAATTATCATCAAGTAAGGTCTCTCTCCGGATGTGCCGTGTACGGCGATAGTTATACGGTCGTCAGAGGTGCCTACGTGTGTGTCTTGTTATGGAATTGCTGTTTGTACACGTTGTCGCATGGGCGCGCATATCCCGCACCGGACGTTCGAATACGGTATTTTTGTATGCGTGCGCGTGTATAAAGTCAATTTAAATACCGTGTGCGGAGGTGGTGTTCATGTGCGAGTGGCGGCGTTGGTGTCGCGATACTATCTCGCAAGAAGACTACCATATGGAAGCTTCCATAGATATACTATATGTAACTTAAAATACAGGAAATAGGTTCTAATGTTTTGACGGGAATTGAACGTTTAAATTGAATATATCAATTACACGTGGAATGCGAGTACGCGTATAGGTGCATCATATGTAGCCGCGAGAATGAAACTCGATCGGGTGCTATGCGTTTAGGTGCATTACATATTGTGTACACGTATCACTCTTTCGGGCACATGAAGATGGGTTAATCGCGTAATGATCGAGGTGGCAACTTGCCGTGAGAAGAATGAAATTTACAAAATGTTCATGTTAAGAAAGGAAAGTTCGTTGCGGTGAAGAACTCGATTTCATTGATGCACTACCTGCGCGCGCGTACCTACCTATTTCAATTTATATATTTATTAATTTACGCGCGATACGGTCTACTCGCGCCACGTGCGCTTCGGAGAAACAACGAATACTTTATGTATGAATGGTGTGCCCGAGTCGACAAACGACGGCATTAGGTGTGACGACGGTCAATGCATAATAAAATATTTTATCTCGAAAGATAATAAAATTATAATAATACTATACGGACGAGAAGAATTCGATTTCGGTGGGATTCCGTATGAAAACGATTACAATATTAAATGATATGTAAAAATATAGTATACTCATTGTGTAAAAACAGAGAGAGAGAGACGCCGGAAAATGTGGGCAGATGACGCGCGCATGTAAAGTAGTTTGTAACTTTATTACGTAAATATTCGGATGAAAAAAATTATTGAAATACGCGTATGTGTAGGTATTTGTTAAATATTATTATTTTATATTGTATTCCCGCGCATAGAACAATAGATATATATATAATATATTCGTATGCATAAATGCAATAAAATTAATGTGTCGTGTTTAAAATTAAATGTATACGAGATGCAGTAAAATATTCGAGACCCAAATCACTATACAACGCGTACAACCATCTATAGTACCTACGTATATTACGACTTTATGAAAACAAATCAAAGAAGGATTTTCGTTCTATACACTCGTAAATAGTACATAATATTATATATATATATATTTATATATTAGTTACGATTTGCGAATGGGTTAGGACTCTTATTCATGAGCAATACCTAACCCAACGTACTGGGAAAAATGACAGAAAATTATGTACGCGCGAATATTTCATTTATATCTACTCCTCATGAATTGTGTACACGTTATCAATTATTTATTATTATTGTTAATTATTTCTATTGAATTATAAAGTATGCAATGGATGATACGGCCAAATTATATCTAAATGGTATTGTACGTGATCGGGACAACACGTATTAATTTCATACATATTATAGCCTCGTGGCAATTTTAATCGTTTATTATTATTAATTATAAATTTTGAACGTCAATGGTGAATAATTCATAACAATAATATGATAATGATATGTATTATATATATATATATATACATAAAGCCATAATAAAAGTATAGTCGGTAGTCTACGTTTGTTATGTGTTTATGTATCGACACTTCATGAATCGTGATTCGCAATTGTTAAAAAAAAAAAAATAATAATAATAATAAAAACACAATTTTTATAGTTCTTTAAATAACACGCGACTTTCATGATTTTCGAAAATTAACATTAACCACCGGATAAGATGATCAAGAATTACGTATCAATCAAAACAACTCGACGAAGACGTAAAATTTTCAAATGTTTTAAATATATTATTCGCGAGCACACGGATTTATACAATTTGTATACATCAGATCGATATGTTTATTATTAAAAATGTTAATAGTATTATATTTATTGATATTTTTAATTAGTTTAACATGCAACAGTTGTCTTAGTTTCAACGGAATACGATACAAGTATATCATATTATAGACATTTTCCCGATCACTGTTGCATGAGAACTTACGAATATGATACAAACATACATTGATATCTATATTGTAGCTGTAAAATTGTGTTGTATTATATCACAATTCACACTATGTAATCCACGGTACACGCACATTTTCCATTATCCGAGTTCCAAGGACAATGATATCGAATTTAAGTACAGAAGTCTCCTTGTCCCATCTTCAGTTCGGTGACATACTCGTATATACGTATACTTATACGCACGCGTGATTTGCGTCAAGATTTTCATAGGATTCAAGGATAAATGCAAGGATATTCAAGGATAGGTCCAAGATGCAACTGACCCTAAAAATAAAAGAATTCAAGAAGCTTCCGTCATAATCGATCGATAAAATAAAATACCTTTTAATAAAAGTCATAATTTAAGAAAAAAAAAAAGAATACCACCCCATATATATAATATACTAAACAATTGTATAAATCATAAACATGTTAAATCATACAAAGATTTAACAGAATA